GTAATGCGCAGCAGCAGCAGCAGCAGCAGCAGCACCAGCAGACAGCATACAGCTTTGTTTAGACAGTACACACAGCCGCAGCTGCTTCTGCTTTTTCTGAGTCTGCTGTTGTATTTGCTGCTGCTGCATCTGGTTCTGCTGCTGTATCTGCTGCATCAGCTGCTGCTGCTGCTGCTGCTGCGTTTGCTGCTGCCTGTTTGCTGCTGCCTGTTTGCTGCTGTTGCTGTTACTGCAATTGCATCTGTTGCATCGGCGTTTGCTGCTGCTGGATTCGCGTTTTCTGCTGCTGCGTTTGCTGCTGCTACCCTTCTTGTTGCTGCTGCTGCTACCCTTCTTGTTGCTGCTGCTGCTACCTTTGCTGCTGCTGCTGCTGCTGCTGCTGCTGCTGCTGCTGCTGCTGGTTCAGGGAAGAGGAAACAAGAAAGAAGATGCTAGAGCAGCATTTAATTAGAGTTAATCACGAAATACGCAGGCTTGCTGCTCACCGACCTCCTGCTGCTCCGCTGCAAGACACAAGAACTCTGCTGCTGCAGCTGCAGCAAGAAGCAAAAGAAAAGAAAAACCATAAGCTGCGGACTCAGCAGCAGCCGCTGCAGCAGCAGCAGCAGGAAGATCTGCTGCAGCAGCACCAGATGCACCAGCAGCAGCGGGAAGACCTGATGCAGCAGCACCAGCAGTACCAGCAGCAGCAGGGAGAGCAGCTGCAGCAGCACAAGCAGCACCAGCAGCAGCAGGAAGAGCAGCTGCAGCAGCAGCAGCAGCAGGAAGAGCAGCTGCAGCAGCAGCAGCAGATGCAGCAAACGCAGCAGCAGCAAAACGATGAAGGAGATTCTTTAAATTCCAGTGAGAAGATACACTCCCCTCAACACAGCAGCAGCAGCAGCAGCAGCAACAGCAACAGCAACAGCAGCAGCAGAAGCAGCAACAGCAGCAGCAGCCACAATAGGAATTACTCTGCTGCTTCTTTTGCTTTTGCTGCAGCAGCTGCCTCGCTGAAGCCCTCGGATATACCTGAAACACACAACCGAGGGGATGCAGCAGCAGATACAGCAGCAGCAGCAGCAACAGCAGCAGCAGCAACAGCAACAGCTACTGCAGCAGCCACGGCAGTAGCAACAGCAGCAGCAACAGCAACAACAACAGTAGCAAGGGCAGCAGCAACAACTGCAGCGGCAACAGCAGCAGCAGCAAAAGCAGCAGCAGCAACAGCAACGGTAGCAACAGCAACTGCAGCAGCAGCGACGGCAACAGCAGCAGCAGCTTCTGCAGCACCAGACAGCTCAGCTCGAAAGAAGAGCGTGCAACCCTCTGACCCGTCTCCGGCTGCTGTTGCTGCTGCTGCTTCTGCTGCTCGTCCTGCTGCTGCTACGGATGGCGAGTCTGCTGCTGCTGCTGCTGCTGTTTCTGCTGATGATGCAGCAGCTGCGTATTCTGCTGCAGCAGTCAGAAATGTTGTTGCTGCTGTTACCTCAAGAGCTGCTGCTGCTGCTGCAGCTGCAGCGCTTCTCCGTGGCGGTGTGCTAAACTCCGAGGCAGCAGCAGCAGCAGCAGCAGCAGCACTGCTTGTCAAGGCAGCAGTAGACGCTGCAGTTGCTTCCAGGCAGCAGAAGCAGCAGCAGCAGCAAAGCAGCAACCTAACGCTCTCACTACATCTACAGAAAGCTGAACAGCAGCAGCAGCAGCAGCAGCAGCAGCAACAGCAGCAAAAGGAAAGGCGTCGCAGCCGCAATCGCGGCGTTCATTTTTGTGAAGGGTCGCAGGAATGCAGCAGCAGCACAGGGCCTGCAGCAGCAGCATCAGCAGCAGCAGCAGCAGCATGGGATGAAGACAGCGGAATGTCGGAGCGCAGCAGAAGCAGCAGCAGCAGGAGCAGCAGCTGCAGCAGCAGCAGCAGCAAACTGAGGATGCTGAGAGCAGCAAAACGAATATCATCATTGGCTATTGCGGGGCCTGTAAGGCGCAGCAAGTTGTTTACAGGGCTGCCTGTGCGCAGCAGCAGCAGCAACAGCAGCAGCAGCAGCAGCAGCAGCAGCAGCAGTAGCAGCGACAGCAGCAGCGACTCAGAGGGCTCTGTTTACGATATTTATGAATATGACGTCAAGCAGAGGCTGCAAGTTGCCGCTGCTGCTGCTGCTCAACTGCAGCAGCAGCACCAGCAGCAGCACCAGCAGCAGCACCAGCAGCAGCAGCACCAGCAGCAGCAGCAGCAGCAGCAGGCGAGGGCCTCCGTTGCAAAGAGACAGAGTTCTGTCTTTGCTTCATTTTCACCCGTACATCGTTTGGGCAGCAGGCGATGCAGCAAACCCATCAGCAGCAGCAGCAACAGCAGCAGCAGCAACAGCAACAGCAGCAGCAGCAGATTGTCTCGTAATGCATCTTTTATTTCTTCTGCAGACAGATGGACAGAGAGAAGAGGCACCGAAAGAATTTCTGTTCCTGCTTCGATTCTCATTTGCGGCAGTGTGCAACCCTAAACCCTAAACCCTAAACCCTAAACCCTAGCTGTTGAATCCTAAACTTTTAACCGTCAATCCAAAGGATTACATCCTTAAACCCTAAACCCTTAAACCCTAAACCCTCAATCCTTAAACCCTCAATCCCTAAACCCTAAACCCTAAACCCTAAACCCTAAACCCTAAACCCTAAACCCTAAACCCTAAATAACCCTAAAGAACCCTAAACCCTAAACCCTAAACCCTAAACCCTAAACCCTAAACCCTAAACCCTAAACCCTAATACCTTAAACCCTAAACCCTAAACCCTAAACCATAAACCATAAAAAGATCGGAAGAGCGTCGTGTAGGGAAAGAGTGTAGATCTCGGTGGTCGCCGTATCATTAAAAAGTGTTTGTTGTTCTAAGGAAGTAATTTGCAATATTTGAGCACCGCAACGGCTGAGGCGGGTAAATACAGAAAAGCAGCAGAACAACTATCCGAGTAAGAAGCCTATTTATTAATTTATTAATTTATTTATTATTTATTTATATATTATTTATTTATTTATTTATTTATTTATTTATTTACTTATTTATTTTGTCTATTTGCTTCTTTTTTTTATTTATACTGTGTGCATTTACTTGTTTACTGGGTTTATATTATTTATTTTATTTTATTATCTATTTATTTATTTATTTATTTATTTATTTATTTATTTATTTAATATAA